GGTAGGAGAGAGGGAGAGATGAGATTCTAAATGTAGATAGATACCCGTTAAAAACTCTTTTGCCACATGTGGCTATAAATGGCCAATCTTTAAAAAAATATTAAAATAACTCAATTATGTTAATAATTTTTTTTTGTCACTATTATGTTAATATATAAATATTATATAGATTAGAAACTCATGTAAAAAACTCCACCATTGTGGATGCTTTTAGTTTTCTGACACTGTTTTTTAGAAGTTTTGTTGGATGTAGTGTTTCCAAACAAATCAAATTAACTTTTCAATACAAAAGAGCTTCACTATAACAGAACAATCAAGCTTCAAGAGGGTCTACAAAAAAAGGTGGCATCTACATTGTCGTTTCTTTGTTTTGTCTTTGCTTTGATATAATCTAGAAAGTCAAAGCGAGCAAAATATGCTAGTTATAACAGAGAGAGATGTATGCTATTTTTTTAAGGCTATAATGGTTTTGGTAGAGGATTGTCGTAAAAATATTGATTTGTATCATTTTGTTGGTTTGTTAATATTTTGCTTCATTGTATAGTCACACAACCTATATAAAAGAATGAGGTGTTCTGTAATTGATCCCAATCTACATTCTTGCTGAATTACATGTGATGAATATCTTCAGTGATATCATTTGCTAGCTCATCCTCCAATGATTGGAAGAGAGATGCTGCCAAAAGTGTCTAACATTTTTTCTTGTGTAAAAGAATCTAACATCTATCAGTTTTGGCCAACGATACCAGTGATTAATCTCACTAACGAATCTCGATCTCAGCCAAATCCATCAGAGATAATCGAAAAGATCGATAATGATAAAGAAAAAAACGATTGTAGGGACTCTTGACCCGAGAGTTGAAGAATTGAACTTGTCTTTGTTTGAATTTGAAAACGCTATGGACTTCATTTGCTTTTATAGTTTTACGGTGGTTAGTTTCTTTTTCCATAAGGGATTTTTCATCCACAACGGATTATGTGACGCCCGTCTCACTACTTTAGCCGAGACGATATACCACGCGTCTCCGAGCATAACTCTCCGTAATTAACCATTTTTAAAATCTCAACGTTCGAATATTCATTTATTGAATAAAACAAGAGTTTAATAAAGTTAAATAAAATCCATAAATCCAGCTGACTAAAATTATAATACTGATAAAGTAAATAAAATAAGTTTCTAGTAAAACAGTGATAAACTAAATAAAATAAATTTCTAAGAAAACCAATTAATCTAATTAAAACCGATAACACTTGGTATCCCTCGAAAACCAGCACCACTCCAAGATCACAACAAAGCTACTCCTCATGCTACCCTGCATCCATAAAAGGAGGCATGAGTACCTAAGATCATCCTCAATGGAAGTTTCTTCAATGAGTTCTAACCAATTAAAAATTAAAAAATAATGGAAAAGTATAAAGAGAATGAGAAAGGGTTCTTGTGGAAGAAACTCTCACATTTGTTGTAAAACCCCATTTCACACATGCTCATATGTGATTGGTGCAATTTTGTTTTT